TTATCATTTCATTCGAAAAATGAACTGCTTTATTCTTGGCTGTAACCCGGGCTCTATAGTGAAATGCAGTTCCGGAACCACCTCATAGCGTGCCAGTGTTCGTCGTAGGAGATCACAAGAACTCGGTCGTAAGCAGAGGCGAGCAGGGGTTTCCCCAGGAATTGATGTTAGGGTGGGGGAGGTCTAAATCTTTATGGGGGGAGGGGGAAAGGGGCATTGAGAATAGAGGGGTTGTTGCGAATTACACCCCCCCCCCCCCCCCCCACTAAGGTGTGTGTACTTAGGGGTGTGTGCAAGGGAATCCCTAGAAGCGAGTGTGTGAACGAGCCTAAATTTCGCGGTGGTGCGTGAGCGGTGTATAGCAGCGACGCACTCGGCTATCGGGCGCTAGTGAGTATACGCTCGATAAAGGTCGTCGTGCGGCAATCATCGCGAAGCTGGTTCTGCGGCGGCTTCCCGCGCGCCTGATCCAGACGGCACGCCGTTCGCGCAGGCGGAAACAAGTGACAGCTGGCCTTTGCTGCCGGCGCAACTGGACGCCGAACACTCCCTTCAGCCCGCCGGTTTGAATCGGCCCCACTTTCGCGATCACAATAATAGGCGCCTTCGCCTCGCTGGGCAGCCCGAACAGCGGTGCAGTGAGTCATCTGAATTTGAGAAACGTGTACAAAGACACAATAAAAAAAAAAAAAAAATTGGAAGAGGCAGGGCAGCATCTGAGCAGACATATTAGTGTAATGTTTTTTTTTTCTTCTTCGAACAAGAAGCGTGTGCGCAAATAAGGTGGTGTAAATTGAAATGCATACGTAAATAATAAATAAATATTAAATGAGAGTGAATCGCTGTGATGAATAGAGGGAGTTTTGCCTGACCTATATAAGCAATGCTCACGAAACGATCAAAACTCGAAATAGACCAAATCATTAGGACAATATTGAAATATTGTATTCTTTGCTGCAGAATGTTGAGATACATGATGAAACTCATTAATGTCATATACTAAAAAGAATAAAACACGAAGGACGGGCAAAACAACACATCTTTCGAAAGATGTGTTGTTTTCACTGTCCTTCATGTTTTATTCTTTCTACTATGAAACTTTGCCACCAACGCGCTCAACAAAAGTTTATTAATGCCCGACCGTACGCGTTTATCGAAAGGGCCTCTTCAGCCTAAAAATAACGATCGTAGGTCTTCACCTCTCGCGCGAGGTTACGTGAATTCAATTCACCTGCTACATTATCAAACCAACATGACTAAATTTCATCGAAAAATTAATTCGAGAAGTTCAGGTTTTGATACGCACATTTTCGTTTCGTCACCGGACGAAACCCGTGAAGTAGCGAGATACTACAGCCACTAATCGTGACGTCACGCTCGTTTCGGTTCCACTCCTAAACCAAGATCAACGACCAAGATCTAGCCGCTCTCCCTAGACACCCCTAGATATATGTCGGACAAACGGGCAGGTGTCTCAACGATCGGCAGCGAGAGCATCATAAATAATAATTATTGGGGTTGTGTGGATATTTAGACAGCGTGTAGTTGGTCAGCCATTTCAAGGTTGCGACGAGTCACTCGCTGTTGATGAGCAATTTAGCCAGTGCAGTACAACCGCTAGCCTGGTGTCTTTAACGTGCACCACGTAGCATTGATACACGACCGCACGCCGGTACGATGCTCATCCAGATCGAAACGGGCGGGGGTGGGTTCCCCAGCGCGAGCTTTCGCTCCACGTGAGAGCATCACGAACAAGTCTGTCTCTGGCCATTTAGGGATTCATTGCCAAGACTATGGTTGTGACGCCCAGTTCACAAAATGTAATGTATTGGTGCGGAGCCAGGACCTATTAATTTGAGAAAAAAAAAAGATTAAGACCGAGAAGATCGTGCGATTAAGACCGAGAAGATCGTGCGACTCAATGACGACTGATCAGCGTCCCTTCCGCTTCCTTATCCGCCAAAGATATACAGGGTCGTCGAGATAAATCAGGACGTTTCCCAGATTTCGTCTGCGAAAAATACAGAGAAGAATCTTCCGTATCGCGCTTCTGCGGCCTCGTGATTCGACAGCGGACCATCGCATGATAAACAATCCGCGACTTACTCAAAAATGAACAGGGAATACGACCGGAGGGCAGCAATACCAGCGCCGGAAAGTTGCCTCAGCAAATCATTGCGTGGTATGTAGGCACGTAGCCAGGATTTTGATTCGGGGGGGGGGGGGGGGGGGGGGGGGGGGGGGCGCCCATAACAAAATTGCTGTATGAGGGGGAGGGGGAGAGGAGGTCCCGGCAAAATGGAAGAGTGCCTGGCTACGTGCCTGGTGGTATGGCTACAAGAAGACACAAGTTTACAGCATTGCCAACAAGTTCAGATAATCTGTCAGTCAGGCAGAGCAAGCAAAGGCGAGCAGACAATGGTCGATATTAATTTTATCTTCGCCTCTGTGTGGTTTCCTGAATATGACGAATTTTCCGAATTTAGCTCGAGGACCCCGTATACTACTTGGCGAAGTAATCATTGTAATGAGCGCAGATTTCCAAGGTTCTTTTTCGATTTTTTTTTCAAGTTTTCTTTGCGCCATGGTCCTGTTTCTTTAGAAACAAGTGAAAGAAAAAACGTGAGCTATAAGCAAGCGCTGTTCGTACTTCTGTTTCCTCTCCCTTTGTCCTCGTTTGTAACCCGCTGTTGCAGCTGATATGAACCGGAGATGCGTTGAGCGACGCGACCGACGCGACGACAACAGGCGAGACCGAGGAGTGCGATGAACAAAAGCTCTAAGGAGACGGCATCCTGATACTGTTACATCACGACTTTTATCGAGTGAGTTGGGATACGGGAATTTCCAGAGGCGTTTTATACGCTTTATTCTTCAAATGGCGAACTGAACATTCGTGTATACATTTCCACGAGCAGGTCCTAGTACCTTCCACAAGATTTTTACGTGAAACTAACGACCCCCCCCATTTTAGGCTTGAGATGCCCTTTAAGCACGCCGACTTGGTGTCAATGAAGTTAAAGCGAGGGTACAGGCGAGCTGCTTGAGTATAGACATCTTAATCCTGGATAGTGGGGACAGGAAGGACAAAACGACGCAGATCTCCAGTGTCAATATATTTAGCGGGTCTAATTTACAAACTTGCACGTGACGCGTTACTTGAAATTGGTTCCATGGTAACGATTTCGTTAATTTTTTGAATAGGTGCAGGTAGAGAACCGGCAAGCAGTTTTTATTTTCAATGACCTTTGCCATAGCGACCTCTCTTGCGTGCTCCCTAAGTAGCACGGTATTTGCGTAACATTTTTCCAGCGTCGAGGAGATAAATGACCCAGTCTGAGTATACAGGCAAAAGGCAAGTGAGCTTGTTTGTCGACTTTGCTACCGTATCTGTACTTTAGAGCTTCACAGTGACACCGGCTCACTCCAACTCGAGAAAGGTAACGATAAAAGTTAGGCGTTAGGTTCAGGGAAGAGTAACATTAACGCGTTCCTCTTATGAAGCCTGGTAACCATCGAAACGTTTCTGGTTGCTGTTTGAGAATGCAACGAGTAGAGGTACTTAGGTACCGGCTACTCCAACTTTTATAAAAGTAACAATAAAAGGAAACAACCACACCCTGTGGTGCTTAAGTTGACAATGACTCTATACTGAGTCTCGATCGATATGACAGTAAACACCGGATCCCATCTTCATGCCGCGCGCCCTCAGAGGCTACTACGTGTAATAGCCGCAGCTCTTCGCGATTACCTCTTATCACCAATTACTGGTCTTTTTTCTTTCTTTTGTAACCAGCCTAGCCAATGAGAAGCGCGAGCGGTATCGCGTTCATTAATGGTCAAGTAATCTTACACCCTAGTTAGGCGGGCGCGCTTAAGTATGGTTAGTACTTACTGCCAACTATTTTGCCAGTGAAAATGTCATCGTGTTTTATGTATGTTTAGACAGCCGGAAGTTAGTCTGCCTCAGTGCGCGACTTGTCTCTCAGCTGTAGATGAGAAATTTAGCCAGTGCTGTACAAACCGCTAGCCTTGGTGTCTTTAACGTGGACCTCGCAGTAGTGATACACGACCGCACGCCGGTATACGATGCTCATCCAGATTGAAACGGGCAGGGGTGGGAAGTGAACCCAGGATTCCTGTTTTGCCGGTGAAACTGTCTGGTCATTTGAGCACGATACCAATAGTCCCTTCTGATTGGCTGAACAGTTTGAAGAAAATAAACAGCGGTTGGTTACCCGAATGAATTGCAGGGCAGTACACGCTTCAGGAACTGGCAAGCGTGCACAGTGTAACAGCGATAATGGTTTATTCCGCCATTATTTGGTAACACAAAAAAAGGAATTTAAGCTGACTGGACAGGTACCTTTTGGGGTTTGCCTGTATTTTCTTTTTTATTTCTTCATCTACTTTCAAACCACAATTCTAAGAAGCTCCGACGTGTACCTCTATTGTATTCTTCACAATATGGCCTACGACGACGCGTCAGCAGGTCTAGAAGAATGCGATATTCCGTTCAGTTGTATCGCGTTACCTATTTGTTAATAAAGCATATTGATCAATAAAGGCTTGCAGATTGTGGTCTTTTGAGGAAAGCGTTGGTTAACCTGTAAACTGGAATGTTTTTGCGAGAATAAATAAACAAGATGAAATGAAGTATCCGTTAATCTACATAAATAAAAAAGATAAGTAGAGAAAAATAGATTACGCAGGGCTGTAACGGAAAGTGAAGTCCGATTCATTCGCGAGAACGCTCTTACAAGCGAAACGCGGTAATACCGAAACAGAAAAATAAAGCAGGGTCACTTAACGCAGCAGCCCACGGGTCAAATCCCGCAGTCTCCGTCCACAATGGAAAGGGACAATCCTCGCCAACAATCGCGTTCGACGCTAAAGTAGCAGCGCCGAAAACCAGACAAGCGCTTCGTCGCCGACTCGAAATAATACGAATCTAAGTGGAACCGCCGCTCACTGAGTTGACAGAGGGGAAAAAAACGTACCGCTGTGCTGGTTGTTTGCTTTCCACTCTGCTCGATGGAATCCCGGAGGGCACTCCTGGTCTCGAATCGTCAGCGCGAAGTGTGTGTGTAATCCAGAAAGAAGGCGAGCTCCTGCCTGCTGCACCGTTGACCCGCGGGCGTCGTCTGCTCGACTGGCCGACCGGCCGACCGACAGCCCGTCTGCTACCCGCTGGGAAGCCGCGTGCTTGGTGACGCCATCTCTTGGCCGCCGGGCTCACTACGTCGCGCGGTTCGCTGACACGGCCGCGATGCTGCCGCGATGCTTCGCCGTATTTCACACCGCGGAGGTACGTCCTTCATACAAACGATAGCCTGCATACATTGTCTGAGGATCACTATCATTTGAGGCCAATCGTTGCAACGCAGGGGTGTTGGCGAATGCCGAGGATGGGGATGTGTTGAGCTACACTGTCAGGTGCTCCTGAAGGTATACTGCACCGCCATGCGATTGGAACGCCCGTCATTGATATACCTCTGATCCGTACAGCCAAAATTATAAGTCAGAGCAGTATATTGTGGCAGCACGATGATTACACGAAACTGCGCGGTCGTGGGAGCACGATAGCGATCGCTCTTCTCGCTGGATGAGCAGCCTACCGGAAATCCCAAAGATTTGTTCTCAGGTGGTGTTCAACATTTCTCTAGCGTGAAGATAGACGTGCGATGTAAAGATGAGAGTCGACAATTATTAGGCGTGATCTTTTCGGCATACTTGTCACCCTTGAGATGCCACCTCAACTATAACTATAGTTACATTTGCTAGTATGTAATACCCTAGTTACACACACTTAACTGCGGTTCAAGGGTGCTCGTGTAAATAGGGTTTAAATGCATTTATAAATTAACTGTTTCAGCTCTTCAAAGAGCTCTAACTGTTAAATTATCTCTTTTACGAGTTTCGCTTTAGTGACCCGGTGGACTGCTCCAGGAAGCGCTAATCCTCCACATCATTATCCTCCAAAAAAGTGTTTCGTGTATTAACCACTGTGTGTCCAATATATTTGTAGAGGACAGCTCGATGCAAAGTCCCGTCGTCGTCACGCTCTCATATACGAAACGCGCGAGTGGTGTGTTTCGTCAGCTACATCCGAGTACAGGTGTATACACCAGACGACGGGATTCCCCGCACCACACAGCTGGAGACACTACGCGGGTCCTTTATAGCGCGCCGGATGTGTCACGTGAGTTCACGTACCGTCCCCGTCACACACATGGTTAGGCGAACGCGCGGCGTCGACAGTACAAGGCTGTAAAACCGCAATCACGCAATGCTACACCATAAACAAAAAAGTATTCAGAGGAGATTGCATTCCGTCCCTCCGTGTGACATGCGTTGCCCGCTCCGTCATGCACCCGACAGTGTACATGGTCCTGTAAAACATTGGTCGTATGCTAAACCTGTGTGAAGAAATGTTCGAGACGTACGAGTGCATGAAGAAAACATGCCTCGACCGTATATGCTTTGGAGCGTGTGCGCAGATCGTCCTGTCGTGATCGTGTTTGTAGCGAACAGTTTCCTTCGTACGTTGCATGACCCATATAAAACTATATAGGGCTCTAGACGGGTATATATTGGGAATGGGTGTACATCGCCGATCTCAATATGTACGCAGTTTTCATCGATTCGGAAACTCGGGCACGCTTCCTTCTCGAACGTGAGTCTTTCGTTTACTTATTACATTTTTTATCCGCGATTATTTTATCGATTTTTTGAAGGAATGGCTTCTTAATGACACCGATATATTGATCGTTTTGCGGGCTGACCTTTGTTTCGTAGCTTACTTGGTTTATCGGATGCTTTATGAAATACGATTAGTTTTTGTACTCTAATAGCGCGTGGCTTCTGAAAGATGGTTATTTAATTGAACAGATCTTTATTCGTATTTAATTTAGTGTTCTAGATCGTAAATATTTTGTCTGTGTCGCCAGTGTTGCTTCCGCGGTCCTTGATCGTTCTTGCAATATGATTAAATATAGTAATAGTAATAATAACACCCTTTCTTAGCGACAGCAGTGGTACTCTGGGTGGCTCACGAGGCTACACAGAATACTGTTATTCTTATCATGTTAGCTTTTATTTCCCGAGTTGGTGCTCAGGTAAACACAGGAACGAGTGTACTGGGCCGATCGGCCTGTTCCGTCGTCTCAATGTCCTAGGCTTCTTAAACGCGCCGTGACCCGGGAAGTCATGCTGCGCTCTGGAGGCGTAGCAATGGCTGCCAGAACAAGTAGAAGGCGCGCGGCCGGTGGTACTCCCAGCCCTCGTTAAGACAGCCCTTACGCCCGCTGGAGGTCCCCGTGCTTCAACGGGGTCTCTTCTCACAGATATGAATGGGTGACATGCAAGCGAGCGCCGACTTTATTTTCACGCAGTGCTGAGATGAACTACTTCGTCAAACGCGGCAATCGAAATCGAAACCGTGCCACTCCTCTCCATGGTCAAAGAGGTTCCATAATGCAACGCGCGCAATCTCGCGTGCAGGGATTTTCGGAAGTAGTCAACTGCGGAATGGAATCTTTCGCTAAAAAAAGATTTTTACAGAAACTAACACCGCTAAATTTCAATAAATGCTCACTCTCTTTCTTAATCGTAGTAATAAGAACTATAGCTGCGTTATCATCTTAATTCTATGCCCGTGTGTGCTTCGTTCTTGCTGTTTTTGTTATGTGTTTACTGAATTTTGGAATTGTAATTTAATACCCGGAGACGGGTCCTCGAGGTGAATACATGCCTAAATAAATAATAAATGTATCCGAATGAATACAAAACTACTTCAAAAATTAAGCGATTACAACTACTAGTAATGGGTAGCCTACAAGCCTGACTGCAGCTGATCACTGGCAGAAGCACACGGAGGAGGAGGACACCCCCCCCCCCCCCCCCCCTCTCGTGAAATCGCCTGGTGACATCGTGGGTGACGTCATCCCCAGGGACGATCCAATCAGTGGAGAGTCCCTTAGGCAATCCTCGTCGGTCCCGTCTGCCGTCGGCTCAGATAAAGCCCGCGGGTTATCGCTTGCCGAGTTATGAATTGAGGCTTCCTGAAATAGACGCACGTGTTCGGGAAACACCGCCGGCCGGCCGTGGCTCGCACATTATCGGGAGAGCGAACCAGACGTTTAGTATGTCACGTCGGTTATACTGAAATAAAAAAAGCGTGGATTGTATTGGCCATGCTTGCTCGTGAAACCGTTTTAACTTACCAGTCTCTCTTTTTTTTTTTTTTTTCTCCGAACATATCATAATCGAAGCATACATACAGTTTTTTTTAAGCTTTACAGATGCGTTTAAAAAAGTCCGGGACAGTTACACTTAAGCGGTGTGTGAAGGAGAGTTATACGGCCAGGGGCATATTATGTGGGTGGCTAATCTTTGCGATAAGTCGGCTAATTAATCAAAATTCGTTAATGAACTTTTTAATTCGTGAAAATATACATATGGTTCCAATTAGAAACTTTCTGAGCGTCATCGAAAACTACTAAATCAACTCTTTTTAGAACGACTTGGAGCTCGTGGGAAACTCGGGAGCGCGCCAAAGTTACCACTCGTGCAGCAGGCGCAAAGTTATAGTCGCTTACAAGTCAAGAAGGTAGGAGAAGCTCCTCCGACAAGCCTGATGCGCCAATTTCAAATCTCTCCGCAGTCGAAAGAAGAGTTCACTGGAAACGCTCCTTGTTCCGCTTCAATGAATAGATATCGGCTACAGAGTAAAGCCAACTTGTATCCGATCCCACATTTTAAGAAAGCGACCTTTGTATTCATCGGAGGGGGAACCGAGCCGCTGAAAGCAGCCTTTGTATCCATCGGAGGGGGAATCTAATCCCTGAAAGTCGTGTTTGTTTGCATCGGAGGGGGTAATCTCCCTCTCGTGGCTTCCGCAATGCTCAGCCGAAGTACCAAAAAGAAAGAAAATATGTACAGGAAGGCAAGACTCTCCTCGCGCGTTGGCCGCGACGTCACGGAAACGGTGGGACGCTATTGGATGCGGAGGTGGCGGAGGGATATATGATTCCCTTTGAGGGGCATTTGCCGCTACCTTCTTGACTTGTAACCTACTATAGCAGTGGCGGAACTCGATGATAATCTAATCGCCCGCGTTCCGCCACTGCCGGCTTTGCGCCTGCTTCACGAGTGGTAACTTTCTGACAGAAGAACAACGGTTTTTGTTGTATGGGGCGAAGTAACTTCTCAAGTTCCGATTCAACGCCCGGCTTCACCGCTTGTCGTGACTTCAGAGACACGACTTGACGCAAATTACTACTCATTACTTTTTTTAATGGGCTCGCCTTTTTATTTTTTTTTTTCCAAGGGGCACTTGTTTAATTAGTCACTCCACTTTCCAACGACGAGTTTATACGCATTTCCTTATCAGGAACGCGATAAGAGATAGTCAAGTTCCTCGCATAGCTTTGCCCGACGAGAAACTTCATCAGGGCACGATATAGGCTCTATATAGAGACGCATACAACATTCAGAGCCGTGATCCGAGTAAAATGGGAACGCTCGCTGCTTCTGCCTTCGATCCCGCCAAAGATATATCTCCGCGTGTTCGTACGCGTCTCCGGCGACTAATGGGAAATCGATCTAAGCCCACGCTTGTAGACCGATGTATATAAAAAGATATATGCATATGTGGACACCCACCCTGCTTTGCGAATGGATAAGGTCAGGACGTCCCATTTTGGGATGCCGCGCTTTAAAAGTCAACATGTCGATCACGCGACAGAACGATTCGATTCGTTCGACACGGGATTCTCGTTATAGTACCGTTACGGAACGATACCATCTGTAGAGAAGGCCCAAAAACAAAGCAGTATGACGTCATCGTTAATGGATCCCCGACCCGAGAGGCGACTGAGGGGGAGGAGGAGACAAGTGCGCGGGAGGACGTTTGGGGGGAGGGGGGGGGGGGGGGGCAGGCCTTATATATTGTGGGCGGTATTGACCATATAGTATAATGCGCGCGCCACGCGTCACCGCGGTTCGCGCGCTTAAAAGCATGCTTCAAAGGCTCCGGTATAGTGCGGTACGCGGAACACGGTAACGGTTTGCTAAAAAGTTCCCAAATGAACAGCTGTGTGACTAGAACGCGCACACGTTTTATCGGAACTGACGAGTAAATTACTAGACCCCTAGAGACAAAAAAAAAAAAAGTCCGAG